AAACCAAAGTCAATTTTCTTCTTTGTCTTCATTTGCAATAATAATATTGAGAAAAGATGTATGGGGGAGTGATTCTTGGCTTAGGAGGTATTGAAAAACTAGAAAAGGTCGAGGAGGCTCTCCTGGATGCTTTCACTAATAAACTGAAATACCTGTGGTTTTTTATTTCTATTTTTATTTTTAATTTCCTTGTCATAATAATTTTGAACTTGAACTACAGACGGTTGGGAGTTATCTTGGCCTCCTTTTTAACCTTGATAGCCTGTTTGTAGATATTTATTATTCTGTTCTTCATCCTTCAGGTTCTAATCATATCATAAATATATCTTTGGATTTTGGAGTCCGAATAGAAGTTAATTATTCCTTGTAGATATCTTATTAAGAATTGTTCTTAAAACTCCATTTCTAGCACGGAAAACTTAGTAAATTCTTGTTCTTATGTTGTATCTTAAGGCTTACTGAAGGTTTTTTTAGATGGTTATGGCTACTAATTTTCCTTCTGAAATCTCGAATTACTTGTATCTGGTCAATTCCTTAGCAACTAAGAATATTACTTTAGCTTTTGAAGCACAGTTTCTCTACTTATTAGTCTGATCCTAATTTCGTGTTTGTGCACTTAAGAATTCTTGATTATCATTACTTTGCCCATGTAAAATATTGTATTTTGTTTATATGCTGTATAGTTCAAATACGATTTGGGCTTCATTACTTCTTATTGAGGTTTGAGGTATAACTTAGAAACTTACTGTTGCTCTTTTAAATTATTGGATGCAGGAAATTCTGGGCAAGGTTATACTCTTCATGTCGTTAGTGTAGCTGCTGGTGAGGTATGCATTATCTTAGTATCTAAATTTTCTCATGTTAAAGTATATATGTATTCAATGTTTTAATTGTATGAACACACAGTTTATGTATAGAGTTTGATTTATCTTCAGAAGTTTTTATTTTTATTTAAATTGTGTAGCATGACATGAAATATATCTAAGTAGGTCACTCTACTGTCTTTGTAAAACTTTAAAGGTTTTGTACTATAACATAATAATGTGTTTTTTGTTATTTAATTGAGTGAAGAAAGATTCTTGACGGTGTGCAAACTGCAATATGCAATTTGCAGTTTGCAAAATTGCAGACTGTAGTTTGCAAACTGCAGTATGCAATTTTGCAGTCGGCATATTTGCAAACTACAATCTACATTTTGCAGACTGCAGTTTGCAAACTGCAGTATGCAAAATTGCAGACTGCAGTTTGCAAACTGCAGTATGCAAAATTGCAGACTGCAGTTTGCAAACTGTAAAATTGCAGTTGGCATTTTTGCACTAGTGATTGTGAAGTTGAATATTTAAACATGTTCTGTTAAACTTGCATAGTGCCATTTTTTAGAGCTAGTGATTGTGAAGTTGAAGATTTAAACATGTTCTTTTTCTCTTTCTTTTGCATTAAATATTTGGGGTATCTTTGTCTTAATCTTTTCTTGAATTTACAATATATGTGTTGTCATCTTTGAGAATATACATGGGAATTGAAGATTTTTTTGTATTAATGGTTTTGTAGGTTGTGAAAATGCAAGAGTACTTTTTTGGTAAAGCACAATTTGGAATGGAAGATGGTATGCATGATGGTTTTTGTTGTTAGAATTTTTTGAATGATTGGAAGGTATTAACTATTGCTCATAGTTAATTTTCCAATCATCTAGGTATTATAATGTAAAAATGATAGGTGCATATTTGTTAGGCATATATAAAACTTTTTGTATACGAAGGTTTATATGTTACAAAATGTGATATGATATATAAAGCATATTAGATTTTATGGATGTAAAGGATGTTGGGTGCCTATTTATTAGGCATATATGCAAACTTTTTGTATATGAAGGTTCACCATCAATGAAATGTTCTTTGAAAAATTAGTGTATCATTGTTTATAATTTGTATTATTTAAATAACAACTATAACAATTTTATATATGTTATAACAGACACATTGATAACACTTTCAAAATGTTATGGAAAATAATTTTGTAACATTTACTAAATGCAATGAATGATACTTTGGTAGCACTTTTAACATGTTATTAAAAACTCTTGTGTAGCGTTTTAACAATGTTTCAGAAAACTAAACTGTAACAGGCTAAGAATATTACAAAAGATTTATTTATAGCATTTTGAGATGTTACAAAAAACTAAACTGTAACAGGTTAAGAAAGTTACAGGAAACTTATTTATAGCATTTGGAAAATGATATAGGAAACTAACCTGTAACATGTTAAGAAAGTTACAGAAAACTTATTTATAGCATTTTGAGAATGTTACAAAAAACTAAACTGTAACAGGTTAAGAATGTTACAGAAAACTTATTTATAACATTTATACAGTGTTACCAAAAATCATTCGTAACTACGAATAAGTGTTACAATATACTTAACAACAGCATTTTATGACAGTTACTGAAATGATTAGTAACATACAAAAAGTGTTACCAATGTCTGCTTTTTAGTAACAAAGGCTATAATAGCATCCTTATAAATGCTACGAATTACCTATGGTAGCACTTTTTGCATGTTACCATAGGCCATTTTTGTTGTAGTGTCTAACGGTTGAGATGCTTCACTAAGTCAACGACATAAAAAGGCAATGTACAATCATTATTCACACACATTTTGTCTCTGTTGAAGAACATTGCATTCTCATTTTTCTCTCTGTTAGGGTTTCAGTTGATTGGGTAATTTGCTAGTCAATCAAGAGGGCTCTTTGCTCTTGTTCTTAGGGATTCCTAGTGAGTGTCTCTAGGATTAGTTACGGTGAGGATTACTTGTAATCATTGAGAGTTTGATCGGGTTTGTAGTTTGTTCTTGTTTGGATCTTGATCTAATAAGTAGTGCAGCGAGCTCTCCCATTTCCGAAGCTCAACATGGACGTTGCTTATCCAATTTGGATAAGTGAACCACGATAAATCTATGTTGTGGTGGTTCTTGATTTTCTAGTGGTTTGTGTGTTTTTGTTAAGAGTAATGTTATGTGCACTAACAATTTTGTACTAATCCAAGTACTAATAGTTGAAATTTTGAAATTTTTTTTTTTAGTTTTTGTCTGCCATGTCAATTGGTACTTGGGTTGTATGGTTTTTTGTTAGTGCACATAACATTATTCTTTTGTTAATTAGTTTCAACAGTTACCCATTTGGAGCAGCTTCCGCTAATGGTTAGAATTAAACAGGATGATAATCATTTTGTCAACTAATCTTTGTTTCATATGTATTATCAAGTAGTTGTATCTGTCTGTCCCGTGGATTATGAAGTTTTTATATACAACACTACCAATTTTATCTTCAATCTAAAAATATTGAAAATGTTTTAAATCCAATGTTTATTATTTGATACTTAACGGGTATTAAGTGTTTAACTTGATTTTGTTTTTTAATTTTGAAAATACATGTGGGTAAACTTGATTTTGTGTCGACATATTAATATACAATTATAATTGAATAAAAAGTATATACTTAATTACTCATTTAACTTGAATTTTATTATAGTTCGGAAAAAGAAGACGTTCGAACAAAGATGTGAAGTTAATTAAAGCATTTGGAATTTTGATTTGGAAAGACAAAGTTAGGTTTAGGAAAAAGTTCATTTGGAGTTGGCTTAAACATTATAGTTAATTTGGATTATATTTATTTTAATCTTCTTAAGCACAAATGCACATCTCAATAATCATCAAAATCAAGCTCCCAGAACTCAAAAGTCTTGGAAAAGAAAAATTAGTTTAATAAAATATGTAAGAATTCATTTGAATTGATATCTAAAATATACAATTAAATACTTTTTTTTATTTTTTATTTTTTGGTTTAATCTGGACACATAGCTTATCAATTTATGATGGTGTGAAAATGTGGACAACTATGAACTAAAATCTGTACGGACAAGTCTGGCTTAATGCGGTGGTCAACAAAATAAAAGGCTAGTCATAGACTCATAGTAGTACCTAATAATCCAATCTAATCTAATGCTTATCAGTGGACCCTCTTTATAAACCCTTTTTATCTTCTAGGAACCACGCGGTGTAATGTAATGGCTTACCCCTTGTCAATAGCGCGTGAGATTACCACCACTATATTTATTTAATGATCCGACAGCTGTTTAGAGAAGTTATCGGATGAATGAATAGAGGCAAGGAGAAGGAGACGTTGATGGACATGTAGTTAATAGTAAAGAATTTATTGAGCATATAGATGTTTAGTGGAGAAGTTATTGTGTCCCCCTTTCCTTTTCCACTTAGTTAGAACAATTGGTCAGATGATCCTTTCTAGTAAAATGGTGTGTTTGTTGTGATAATTTGAACAAAGTGAAATTGAGAAGAATGTTCCCCGAAAGAGCATCTTTGAATAATTGAAAAATGGAAAGCATTTGATTTGCCTGACTTTATAAACTTGTTATGGAAGGATAGATATATGATCATATGACAAATGACAAGGCAAAGAGAACAAACTAACTAATCATAAAATTACATTAAAGTGATCATTGTGCGATATGACGTCCCAAGCCAATGATATGAGAGACTCAAATCAACGGAAGTATTGCATGGCGGGAACAGCTTGAGTATCAAGTTTTCATGTATTCTACTATTTTGCACTGTATTAAAAAGGTTTCATTTGTACATTTCAGTGGAAAAGATTATGAGATGCATTATAGTTTAACTGTTTTTATTTCATTCATTTTTAATTTTGGAGTAGAAAACGACGCAGCGTCGGTATAAAGGTATTTGAATATACACATATAGTTTGCATGAGAAGGGGGTCCACTTAGCAGAAGAAGTTGTATCATGTTTTGGAGACTAGTCTCCAACAACACCTTCCCAAATAATTTTCCCATCCCAAGCTTCTTAGTTAAGGCCAAGACTTTGACCAATAACCAAGTCAATGCCATTCAACTTTTATATTTTTCTATATATATATATATAACCAACTGCCTAGTTTTACTCATCACTTACTGCTTCCCTCATCACCCTTCCAAACTTATTTTAATCTCTCTTCCATTAATTACTTTGATCAAATCAATTTTAATGGACAACTTTAATGGCATGGGATACAGATTCCATCCCACTGAAGATGAAATCATCAACCATTTTCTTGAATTAAAGATGAAGTATGGCACTGATTTCTCAGCAGTAATTAAGGAAGTCGATATTTCCAATTTTGAACCTTGGGAATTGCCTGGTACGTATACATATAATTTAATATTGTTAAACTATCTATATATTTTGAAATGACAAATTGTTTTATATTTTTTTTGTGCAGACCAGTCACCACTATCCTCAGATGATCAAGAGTGGTACTTTTTCAGTACAATTGCTTATAAGCCTTCCAATAAGAGTACTAGTAAAAGAGTGGTTGAAAGAACAACTAGGGCTGGATTTTGGAAAGTCACTGGCAAAGATCGTGAAATCTACGACGACAACAGTGGACAACTGATTGGTAAAAGAAAAGCTTTGGTTTTCTACCAAGGTCATGGTTCTAATGCCGTCAAGACAAATTGGGCGATGCATGAATATCATTCCCAGACAGTACATCAGGCATATATCTGTTCTCACCTTCCTTATATTTTTTTGCCTTGCATTCCCGTTTCCCAGGACGATCATCATCTCTTTTAGTAACCTCCTGCATTACCTCCGGTTTTTTAAACTTTACGATTGATGAATAATTAAGCGACAAGATGCATGTTTAATTTAGTTGCTCCTTAGTGATATATTGATTAATATTGTACAACTTGTAGTATTAAAACTACAATTGTTTTTTTTTTACTGCTCTCGACATTTTTGTAGATCATATGGACATTTTGTGCACGGTACATGGACAAATATGCATGCATGCAATTACAAAATATCTTATTGAACTTAGTATGAAGGACATCAGTGGTAGCTAAAAATGATATTTTGTTGTTCTGACTTTCGCTAAAAGTTCGGTAAGTACGTAAGAAACTTTAGCTTCTTTTTTAATATAAAAATAAATATTTCTTCCTCATGTCATCTGCCAAATAACACAACCACAAGATAACGAGGTTCTTTTTTTTTTTTAAATAATAATAATTTTTATTTTTGACTTGTGCAGAACACTTATGTTCTCTGTCGTTTAAGAAGAAAATCAGATGATGCAGAAGATGATCAACCAAGTTCCCGTTCGGCTTCTACTTCACGACATTAATAGCAGAAATTTGATATAACAGCAGGTAGTAAGAGGATTAGTTATTTGTATATGGATTGTAATAAATTAAGCTGATATTCTTACTTACTTATTGTATATATAATCATTGTAGAGATGAATGGTAAAACTGTATTAATTAAGTTGATCCCTATTAGTATTATGTTAATGTCTATTTCATAAGACTTCGATAATAGTTATTAATAATACTTTGTTTTTAGTCATTTTCAGATGGGAGTCTGAACGGGAATTTCAAGTGTGGCATGTTGATGAAGTCAACTACAGCGCTGGAATAACTATGGAGTTAGCTTGAATATTTAATTAGTAATTAGGACATACTGTATTATGTTTTCAGTATATGTAATGAAAAGTATTTTCATTTGTGAGCATTTATAACTAATATATGTGAGTTGACATTAAAATATATCTTCACTTGTTATTTTAAGTATTTGATTGTATTAAAATGGATGATTATTAGAGCGTGTCAAAAAAATTAAATTATAATATTATCACCTATACATAAAACAATACAATACTCCATAATACCTGAAATAAAGTCTATCATGATCTTTTTTGTTGGACATGCATATTTCGACCCTTATTTCTCTCTACACAGATGATTTCTCGTACTAATAAAAAGTGTGAGTCCTATGAAAAATGTTTGTTAAGAATTAACTGAAATTGAGCCTTTCTAGAATATTCATCGAAGGCATCATTCAAAGTTATAGATTATTGAAGCCTGCAACACAAGGAGGTAGAAACTTGCTAGGAGATGAGTAATATAGGCATAACAAACTCAAAACCAACGAATTTTAAAGAATCTATTGAAGCTTAAAACAAAAGTTCTCATAATCATGTAACGAATAAATAAACAAATATATTGCTCATTCCTTTTTAATTGAACTCAGATTGAGCCAGTATAGGATGTTCCATGAAAGCATTTTGATCACTGACTAAACTACACTAAAAGCTTTTCCAGCATGTTCTCTAGAGCATCTACTAATATATTTGAACACATATATATATATTAGAATTACCTTGATATATATAATTTATTAACTTGTGAAAGAAGGGAAAGTTAGTGGGCAACAAGACGACTTCACAAGAAAGTTTATAGTGATTCCTTCATGAATTGTTTTATATTTAATTGAAAGAATTAAATATGAGTTAGCAGATGTTATTAATTGATTAAAAGTAAAATAATAATAATAATAATAATAATAATTCTGTTGCTTACACGATGTCATGTGATCCATACGTGCATGGCGTGTACGTATCCCTTCACACGGTTTTAAGTTTGAGTTATGGGGTCTAGTTTTTACTATAGTCTAGTCTACTAACAATTCCGCGTGTCTAAATCACGTCAGCAAACTTCTTAAATAAGGTCAAGACTTTTAGTCGATGAGAGAAACCATCACATCTCCATTACTATAAATAAGGGGTCTCTTTCTCTTCTATATATAGAAAAGTATATACTTTCTTTTATATTGAATTGAAAGAAGAAATGAGCAATTTTGATGTTCAATTGCTGGGACACAGATTCCACCCAACTGATGAAGAAATTATCACGTATTATCTGGAAAGAAAGATGGCTGGCCTTCATATTCCTCACAACGTAGTTAACGAAGTTGATATTTGCAAATTCGAGCCTTGGGAATTGCCTCGTAAGTGTTGATCACCACTTGCACAGTCGGTTTATATTTCATATTATTTAACCATTCATTGATTGTTGTATTGATGCTGCATGTAGAGCTTTCAGCGCTGTTAGATGATGAAGAGTGGTACTTTTTCAGTACACCTTGCAAGTATGCCAACGGTAAAGGGACCAAAAGAACAACCAAGGGTGGTTACTGGAAAGTGACGGGTAATGATCGTCGTGTTTGGGACGAATGCGAAGAGAATGAGATTGGGAAGCAAACGACTTTGGTTTTCTACAAAGGACGTGGTTCTAAAGCGGTGAAGACCGACTGGATTATACATGAATACCATTCCAACAACGCCTCTTCTTATCAGGCATTATAAGTTTATTGATCATATTGTTTCTTATTAATTTGCTTTTGATTATTTACCCTGAAAATATGTTGTTATATTCATGAACATTTCTTTTTTCTTTAAACTTTTGCAGAATGCATTTGTTTTCTGTCGCCTCAAAGGACAACTAGAGGATGGGTCAAATACTTATACCGGCGGCGAACCAAGCTACAGTTGAGCTTACGATTCTGGAAATCATGATGGAATGAATAGCATTGTGTGTATAATTAGGGTTTGATGACAGGTGATGGAATGAATAGCAAGGAAGAGTATATCATCTATATATAAAGAAACTAATTAGATGTAATATTGTCGGGGAGTGGAGTTCCCAGAGAAAATTTGAGTGATTTTTCTATACGTGTCGTCTTAATTTGTAAGCTGTGTTTGTCGTACGTGTTATGTAGCTCAGTGTAAGCTATGGTCATGTTTGATTGTAGTCTAATCAGTACTAAAATGAATTTGCTTTTGTGGAAATTGAAACGTGGTACAGTGAGAGGGAGAATGTAACAAGAATATATGAATTGGGTGGGTAAAAAAAAAAATATTTGAAATTAAGGTATTCTAGAATATTCTAGGAAACCTGTTTTTAGTAATTTATTGAAAGAACTTATGAAAGAAGGGAGATAGATACAAGTAAGTGAGGAACATAAAAAATCAAGGAAAGTGACCAGAAACAAAAGAAAACAAAATCAATGAAAGGTTTATATATACAACAATGCTACAGACACCGAGGTTTTTACACTGAAATTTTATACTGGCCTATATGTTTCCTGACTTAGACCATTCAAGCATTTAACGTTATTAATTTTTTTTTTAAATTTAAAAATTTTTAAAAAAATTCTGGAATGGATGCCCGTCCATAAGAAATGGACAGACGTCCCTACTCTAATGGACGCTCGTCCATAAAGAATAAACGACCGTCCATTAAGTATGAAAAAAAATAAAAATTTTAAAAAAAATCTAGAATAAATGTCTGTCCATAAGGAATGGACGGGCATCCCTACTCTAATAGATGCCCGTCTATAAAGAATAAACGACCGTATAGAAAAAAAAGTTTTAAAAAAATTCTAGAATGGACGCCCGTCCATTCCTACTTAATAAACTCTTTTTTCTTTTGGCTGGGAACATGTCGCCAACTCTTTTTGACTTTTCCTTTTCCTTTTTTTTTTTTTTTTTTTTTTTTCTAAAAACTAGTAAAGAATTTGGCATGCTATTGATGTACAAATTATACATGGGTTGTGCGAAAGCTCCACCTGACAGAGAAAAGAAGCTCCACCTGTTTCGGTATAATTTTTCAGTGCAATTTTTTCGGTGAATATAGCATTTTTCTTATACATAATATTACTTTTATCAGTTTATAAAGTTATAGATTGTAGTAGCTATATTTTTAACCATGATTCCATATCTATCTTTCTACCCCTAAATTTTAATTCTAAACCATATATAACATAAGCTTTAAGAGAAGATAATTGGGTCATAAACTGAATTGAGTTTATCATTTATTAACATTTACATTTGTGGAAACTTGTTTTTTTTAATGATTAGGGATATCGATTAGTTTATACATATTTTAATTAATTTTTTAAAATATTAAAATTATTAATAATATAAAAACTCTAATAATTATCTTTTATTAATAACAAAAAAAGGTATCCTTAATAGCTTCTCTAATAAACTCAGTCGGTATAAATTGACAAAAAATGAGGTATAAATATATAAAGACGCGGTTTTGGCTCGCTGCTGTTTAGTACCTCTCCATCCAATATCCTGAGAACACGTATCCAAAAGGCAGCAGATATCTTCGTAATTAAGCCAACGAAGACTTAAGACAACAGTGAATGTTTAAGTCAAGTCAATGTGTTACGTCTGTATATGAACGACAATGACTAAACGAGTGAGTGAGTGATCACTTGCCATTGCCTATCTCTCTCTGCTATTTCTGCTGCCTTCTTCTTGTATTGTAATTTGTAAAGCTTAGGATATTACTCTTTCTCTTCTCTCTTATACTTCCATCCATTTCTATAATTAAAATGAATCAGGAGCAGTGGCGGATCCAATTAATGACCGGTGGAGACTACAGTCCCCACTCAACTTTTAAAAAAGTTCAGATGTTATATTTATTTAAATTTTACACTTATGGAATTATAAGATTTTGGAAACAACTCTTATGGTTAGTTTGGATTTTATTTTTATATTTTTAATCCTAATATGTATATTTCATATTTTTGTGATTTTTATTTTTATGCAAGGGGATTTATTAGTTTTTAAAAGTTTTATTAGGAGTGAAAATGAAAGGAATAAGAACTGTTAGGTTTGTATTTTACTGAAGGGAGAAATCTTGGCATTTTTACATCAGAAAGCTAATGTGGCGAGGTCACGGTGAGAATAAGAGAATCTTGGGACAGTTTCATAATTCAAAGAAGTTGTTTTATATATAAACTAGTTGTCCACCAAAACTGAAGAAGAAGAGAGAAAAACCAATAAAGAATAAAGGAAGAAGAAGCAAAGGAAAAGGAAAAAGAGGAGAGGAAAGAATGGGTTTGATCAGTTTTATCCATTTGATTTTTTTGCACTTAAGTTAATGGTACTTGAGAACCAGACTGAGATTTATGTTATTGACATACGTTCTTGTGATGAATTTGCTGAGTTACAAGAAATTGGTGATTTCGTTAAGAATTTAGTTCGGTTTAAAAAAGACATTTTGTATACGTTGGTGTATAAGCTTGTGAAAGTTGCATTGGTTTTACCAGTTACGACTGCGACTGTGAAAGGGTTTGTTCTACAATGAATCTTCTGAAAAGTCCGTTATGTAATCGAATGAGAGACCAATGGATGAATGATTGCTTGGTCATCTATATTAAGAAAAATATATTTGATACAATTGACAATAAGATGATTATCCAATATTTTCAGAATAGGAAAACTCGTCGAAGACAATTGCAAAAACATTGTTTTATTTTTTACAAAAATTTTGTTTTTTAAGATATTTATTTGTATTTTATAACAAAAAAAAAAGTGTGGTTATGATTGGTTTTAATTTTTTTGTTTTTTTTTTTTTTTGTTTATATTTTGCGCCAATAGAGGGAAATTCCTACATCCGCCACTGATCAGGAGGTGGCCGTGGGAGTCAGATTCTGTCCAACTGATGAAGAACTCATCACGTATTATCTTTATATGAAGATGAGCGGCCTTGAATTCCCTTTCCCTATCGTTAGAGAAGTTGATATCCTTAATTACAATCCTTGGGAATTGCCCGGTAAGTAGTCAGTTATACACACACTCACTACACAATCATTTTAAACCAACAAATTAGTGAACTTGTTTTTACACATATGCAGAGCAATCGATACGCCAAGATGATCAAGTGTGGTACTTTTTT